GTCTGACTAATTGTTTGGCCTCGCGCCGCGGACGACCCGCGCGCGTCGCTGGGGCTCTCTCTGGGCGACCAGCGCGCGTCGCAGGAACTCCGCGCTGCGTTCTGCCCAGCGCCTCGCTCGCCCGTCGTCGCTCTGCCCAGCGGCGAGAGCCTTGCCCGCTATTAGCCAGCTAGCTCTCTTTGTTCCGCGCAGCGGACGACCCGCGCGCGTCGCTGGGGCGCCTCCGGGGCGACCAGCGCGCGTCGCGGGGGCTCCGTGCTGCGTTCTGCCTGGCGCCTCGCTCGCCCGTCGTCGCTCTGCCCAGCGGCAAGGGCGTTGCCCGCTATCAGAGAGCCAGCTAGCTCTCTTTGTTCCGCGCGGCGGACGACCCGCGCGCGTCGCTGGGACCCCTCCGGGGGCGACCTGCGCGCGTCGCGGGGGCTCCGCGCTGCGCTGCGCCCGCAGCCTTGGATGTTTGAGTGCGCGGGCGAAGAGGGAGTAAAAGAAGGGGGGGAAGCGGGCGCGATCCTCGCGGGGCGGCGCGCCGACGTTGGCGTCGCGGCGCGCGGGCGATGCCGTCGGGGAGCACTAGGGGAGCCCCTCGCGGCGGCCACGCCCAACGTCACGAGTACTCCGAGGCAGTCATTCTCAATCTATTGACATTCGTATACAACTGCACCATGCTTTGTCACACTCGAATTCGTGCGCGTAGATTCGCTCGCACGCAGATTCGTTCACAGTCAGACGCACTCGCGCTCATATTCACCCGCGCCCAGTCTCCCTACGTACTCAGATCAATCGTTTTCGTTCGCGTTGTGTACCACGCCACCCATTTCGGCACACCCCTAGCGCGGTTCGTTGCTTCACAGGGATCACCACCGAGACAGTGAATCACATTTGCGGTACTCTTACCTGCATATGGTTGGGTCCTTCGTCGGGCGAATTTTTTGATACGTTGGATCTTTGGGCTTGCGCTGGCCCGGGTCAGGGCGGCCCCTTGTCCAGGGCCCAGGGTTGGCGACTTCAAAGGGTACGGTTACGCCGGGGTGTGGATTGCGATCGGCACCCTTGGGGCCTGGGGGGGCACGACGCTATCCTCGCTGGGCCTCCTCGGGGCGCGGGGGAACTCCATCGAGGTCCCCGCGCGCCCCCCAGGGTGCGGCCCAGGGGGCCTGTCGTAGACCACGCCCTCTGCAAACCATACCTTTGGGAGTCGCCGGCGGGGGCGCACCCGCGGCTGCGGCGGGGGCCGGCGCCCCCATGGGGAGCTCGCGCGTCTGCCCCTCCCTGGGCGGCCCTCGGGGCCCTCTGGCTTCTGGGCCCCCTCTCGGCGGCCTCTGGGGGCCCTGGAGAAGCCTCATGGGTGCGAGGCGGGGCTTGATCCGTATCCACCGCCCAGGAACCGGCGCCTTGGTGCCCCAGCGGGCGGTGGATATGGATATATTTGCGCCCCCGGGCGCCCGAGTATGTCCATCTCCACCGCCTGCCGAGGTCTCCGAGAATTGATCCTCCAGGCGGTGGTCATGTATAGATTCCCGCATCGGAATTGGAACCATCTGGCAGCGCGTCGATCTAAAGGGGGGGTCGTCAATTTCCGCCCCTCCCTCAGGAGCGCTTTTGGGGCGCCTCAGGGGGTGTCTCTTGGGGCGCTCTTGGGCGCTAGTGGGCCGTTTTGGGGGCCTGCCCCTCTTGGGGCTCTCTTTGGCCAGCTTGGGACCATCTTGAGACCTCAGTGCCGCATCGGAAGCGAAAAGGCGAGAAGGCAACACTCCTTGAATTTTCTTAGGCTTTCGAAGGAGCTGGACTCTTGGGAGGTCCCAAGGGCGCTCAGAGAGCACTTGGAATCGTCTTGGGGCTTCTCGGAGGGATGTTGGAAGCCATCTTGAACCATCTTCAGCTATCTTGAGCCATCTTGGGGGGCCATCTTGGGGGCCATCTTGAGCCACCCTGTTAACTATCTTGAGCAATATTGAGGGGCCATTTTGGGGGCCATCTTGAGCCATTTTGCTGACCATCTTGAGCCATCCTGAGGGCCATCTTGGGGGCCATTCTGAGCTACCTTGCTGACCATCTTGAGCCATCCTGAGGGCCATCTTGGGGGCCATCCTGAGCCATCTTGTCGACCATCTTGAGCCATCTCGAGGGCCATCGTGTCGACAATCTTGAGCCATCCTGAGGGCCATCCTGGGGGCCATCCTGAGCCACCTTGCTGACCATCTTGAGCCATCCTCAGGGCCATCATGGGGGCCATCATGGGGGGCATCCTGAGCCACCTTGTCGACCATCGTCCCGAGCCATCCCGAGCCGTCTTGGCGGCCATCTTGAGGGCCATCTTGGATCATCCTGCGCCGCCTGGGGAGCCACCCGCCCCTTCTGCTCCCGCCGCGCCTACACCCTCGCGGGCCACGGCTACGCGCAGAGCCCCGGGCCCGACGGCACTGGCGGCTGGCTGGCGCACCGCTCGGACGCCGCCGCGCCCGGCAGTGGCCCGGGCGCCGACTGGGTGCGGGAGGCCTTCGCC